TTCCCTATATATACAACATATTGATTCTCTTTATATTCTTTTAATTATGATCTTTTATGCTCTACTAGAATCTTAAAATCAAATTAAAAATATATTTTTGTTAGTCACACCAAATTTCTTGGTAACATGTCACCATTGTTTTTTTTTTCTTCCATTACAACAAATTGAATGTTTTATGTGAATGTTTAAAAATAAGCACTTAAGTAGTATTGTTTTTATTTCATTGTCATTTACTCATTAAAAATTCACAATTTGAATTATGGATTATAATTTAGTTTTGTGTCTATACTTGTTTAATTATTTGAGTTTGAACATATTGCACAAAAACAATCTTTTGGTCATTTAGAACGAAATAGAAATAAATAGATTAAAAATGATATTGATTCTCAAAAGAGTGTTCTAAGAATTTTTTTTTGTTAAATATCCTATAATTTTTCTTTAAAAATGATGCAAATCTAGATTCCAAAGTTAAAAGTTTTGAGAATAAAAAATTATATATGAATAATGAAGAGCATGATGTTTTATTTGAAAATAGTGAAAATGAAGATGATTATCATGATAAAATTAAATATATTAATAATAAAAATTAAAATATTCATACTAGACAATCTAATCAATATAGTTCAATAGATATTTTTGATTTAATCAAATAAAATGATTTTATAAGTGATTTACAGGATGAATTACTAAAAGAATGTACTAAATGAGATATTTATATTACGAATGGCTCTAAGAAAAATCTTGATATCCTAATAATTTTTCAATAAAAAGTACAAGAATAATACTTAAATAATTTAGGACATCATGTTTTGATTCACTTAGGGCCTTAAAAAAACTCAAGGTCGACCCTAACTGGATTGGTTTGAAAACACAACCTAAAATAAGACAAAGTCACATTTTTCATAGACTTAAAAACATATTTAAATATTTTATCTTACCTTAAATATGTTTTTAGTCCATGTAAAATAAGTAAGTCTTGATTTTTTGTTCCTATAAAAAAATCCTTTATTTTTCATCATTCTAAAATTTGTAAACTTTTTTTTATCCTATAAAATGATTAAAAATTAATTTTCATCCCTTTAAAATATTTTTATTTGATTTTCATTCCTATAAAATCTAAAATCTCTATTTTTGTCCCTAATAATTATTTTAAGGCATATAAATGACATGTCTTAAGGATTTATAAAAAATTTAGAGATATCATATACTAACAAAGTACAACAATATTGTAAGTACCACCTAAAATATGGTCACCTGACTTTCTAATAAAAAAAATAAGTAATTAAAAATAATCATATAATAATAGATATTAAAAACATATTTTCAAATTTTAAAAGGATGAAAATTTAAGAAAAAAATTTATAAGAACCAAAATCAAAACTGACTCATCTTACATAAACTAAAACATATTTAAATCATTCATATTTTATGTATTCGTAAACATTATGGATCAATCTATTTAGCAAAAATACTCGTGTTCAATTCTTTCTGTGTGAATTTCTTTCGGATCAATGTCAATCACAATATAACAAATAGAAGTAGTCTTTCCTTTGATTAACTAGAAAATACTTGAGAGTAGTTGTAAGTAATGGGAAATGGGGCAATTGCCCCACAATAATTTTTATTTTTATTTTTTTGGATTTGATTTTGGAGATACACATGACGCGATAATAAAGAAGAAAGAAATTATATTATTCTCTTATAAGAGATAAAGGTATATTAGGTGCAAGAAAGTGGGAGACTCTCTGCCTTAACCATGTCGGACGTGAGCGAGACAAAGAGCCCTCTACCTTAATGGTGTCGGGCATCTAGTGAGTGGCGTTAGACGCTAGTTGCATGATAAAAGTTG